CCCCTCCCCCAGCCCCACATCAGCAGCTATGCAGGAGAGGTGATGCCACTGCTCCTTGCCTACCTGAAGTCGGTGCCTCCTGGGCACACAAACCACCTCGCCAAGGCCTGCTATGCCCTGGAGAATTTCGTGGAGAACCTAGGTAGGTGTGGGAGGGAGGGGACAGAGCTGTCACTTTGGATGAAGGGGGTGGGATGTGCTGCCTGCGGCAGGGAGAGGTGTGTGGCAGGCTTCCAAGGAGCCCTGGGCTGGATGTTAGAGGTCAGCTTGGAAGCAGAGGGCCCCCAGAAAGTAGGAGACCTGGGCTGTTTGTTAGATGCTTGCCCTTTCCCGCAGGGCCCAAGGTGCAGCCCTACCTTCCAGAGCTGATGGAGTGCATGCTGCAGCCTCTGAGGAATCCCAGCAGCCCCCGGGCCAAGGAGCTGGCTGTGAGCGCCCTGGGAGCCATTGGTGAGGAGAAGGCTGCGGGTACTGGGTTACCCTACGGAGCCTGTGGCACGTGGTCCCGGTGATTCTCATTCCAGCTCTGATTCTGTCCTTCTGTCCCTCAGCCACAGCTGCGCAGGCCTCCCTGCTGCCCTACTTCCCCACCATCATGGAGCACCTGCGGGAATTCCTGCTGACAGGCCGCGAGGACCTCCAGCCTGTGCAGATCCAAAGCCTGGGTGCATAAGGGGCTCAGGCGGGGCTCCCAATGCTGGGGAAGGGCCAAGGGGTTCATGAGGATCTCCCCCAGGCCCCCACAGATATCTTCCCATCCAAGGAGGCACTCTTCCTACTGTACCCAGAAACCAGTGGGATTGCTCAGTTAACCCCCAGCTGCCATCTTCAGTCCCCCAGATTTTGGCCTTGTATCTGTCTGGTTCATGGTTGCCTCCTAGTACTAACCTGGCCCTTGTCCACACAGAGACTCTTGGGGTGCTGGCTCGAGCAGTGGGGGAGCCCATGAGGCCCCTGGCTGAAGAGTGCTGCCAGCTGGGGCTGGGCCTGTGTGACCAGGTAGACGACCCTGACTTGCGGCGCTGCACGTGAGTGAGCCCCTGTCCTGCCCCCACCCCGTGCCTCCTGCCTGCCCACTGGATCCCCAGCCCTGAGCCTAGAACCCGGTCCTTTGGTTCTGGACCGTGGGTTTCCCCGGGCTTCCCCATTTTGTCTGGCTCCAGCAGGTGGGACTGTACGGCTTCCACCTGCCTCCACCAGGTACAGCCTATTTGCAGCCTTATCAGGGCTCATGGGGGAGGGCCTGGCACCCCACCTGCCGCAGATCACCACGCTCATGCTGTTGTCCCTGCGTTCCACGGAGGGCATTGTGGTGAGCAGAGAATGGGTGGGCGGAGTTGGTTCAGGAAGGGCAGCCCTGGGGTGGCAATCATCTGGTCACAGCTGAGCCCAAGTCCCTGCTGCACCTCCTCTGCCCAGCCTCAGTATGACGGAAGCAGCTCCTTCCTTCTGTTTGACGACGAGAGTGATGGGGAGGAAGAGGAGGAGCTCATGGACAAGGATGAGGAAGAGGAGGATGACTCTGAGATCTCAGGGTGCGGAGGGGTGCCATTCTGCTCAGAGGAACCCTGGCTTTGGGCAAGGGCCCTGTGCCCCTGCCCGCGTAGGTGCCTGATCACTGCCATCCCCCACCTTACTGCAGGTACAGCGTGGAGAACGCCTTCTTCGATGAGAAGGAAGACACCTGTGCTGCTCTGGGGGAGATCTCGGTGAACACCAGGTGAGCCTTGGCCCTTTCCTGACACTGGGAACCCCACCTGGGAGCTCCTTCCCCATGGCTGTGTGCCTATCCACAGTGTGGCCTTCCTTCCGTACATGGAGAGTGTCTTTGAAGAAGTATTCAGGTTGCTGGAGGTGAGAGGGCCAGCGGACGGAGCAGGTGGGGTCCCCGGGGTGAGGGGTCCTGTATTGGCCATGACCACAGCAGGCCTGTCCTGCACGTCCTCGTCCTGCAGTGCCCTCACCTGAACGTGCGGAAGGCAGCCCATGAGGCCCTAGGGCAGTTCTGCTGTGCACTGCACAAGGCCTGTCAGAGCTGCCCCTCGGAACCCAACACCACGGGTGAGCAGCGGAGAGTGGGGCCTCCAGAAACTGTGGACAGTGGGGTCGGGGGCGGGGGAGGGCAGGGCCTAACCGGGGCCTCAGCCAATGATGTCCCCAGCTCTGCAGGTCGCCCTGGCCCGGGTGGTGCCATCCTACATGCAGGCAGTGAGCAGTGAGCGGGAGCGCCAGGTGGTGATGGCTGTGCTCGAGGCGCTGACGGGGGTGCTGCGCAGCTGCGGGCCCCTGGTGCTGCAGCCCCCCGGGCGCCTCGCTGAGCTCTGTGGCATGCTCAAGGCCGTGCTGCGGCGGAAGGTGAGCGGGGCAGGTGGGCTGCAGGGAGAGGAGCTGGCCTGGCCGGAGGCTACAGGTCCAGCCTCTCCCCACCTCCCCATCATGGAGAGAAGGGACCAGAGAGCCCAGGCTGAGCTGAACGCTCCTCCTGCAGACAGCCTGTCAGGACCCTGAGGAGGAGGAGGAGGAAGAGGAGCAGGTGAGAGTGCGGGAGGCACATGGTGGGAGCAGGCTGTCCCTGGGGTATCTGCAGAGCAGGGATGGACAGTGTCCCTGGGCCTCAGGGAGCCAAGGCTGCTAAAAGGTTGGTTATGGCTTTGAATAATGCATCCCTGCTCCCATGAAGGCAGCGGGGGTTCTGGAAAAGCTTTCTGCAGGTGAGGGTCTGGGGGCAGGGAGGATGGGATTGAGAGGGGAGAGGAGGCTCACCAGGAGAGAAAGCTGGGCTTCACAGGAGCCCAGCCTGGCAGGGCCCAATCCCATCAACCCAGGGCCACCCCTGGGGGCCACCTATGGTGGTGGCAGAGCACTGGGTGGGGCGTGGTCCCTGCAGCAGAGCTAGCCCTGGTACCCTAGCAGGCCGAGTATGACGCCATGTTGCTAGAGCATGCTGGAGAGGCCATTCCTGCCCTGGCCGCTGCAGCAGGGGGAGATGCCTTTGCCCCCTTCTTCGCCAGCTTCTTGCCGTTGCTGCTGTGCAAGACGGTGAGTGCTCTGCACCCTGGCCTCCAACCCCATCCTGCCTGTGTGCCCAGTGCCTGGCCCCACCCTTGACTCGCACTCTTCCCCCCCCACCAGAAACAGGGTTGCACCGTGGCAGAGAAATCCTTTGCTGTGGGGACACTGGCAGAGTCCATTCAGGGCCTGGGTGGTGCCTCAGCCCAGTTCGTGTCCCGGCTGCTCCCTGTGCTGTTGAGCACCGCCCGGGAGGCTGACCCTGAGGTGCGGAGCAATGCGGTCTTCGGGCTGGGTGTGCTGGCGGAGCATGGGGGCCGGCCTGCTCAGGAGTATCCTCGGGCTGTCAGGGGCGGTGGGGGCGGCCAGTGGGGAGTGGAGAGTATCCCTGGGGCTCCAGGATGGGAGAGGTCTGCCGTGGGCCTGTTCCTTGACTGTGAAACCAGATACTTCCCCAAGCTGCTGGGGCTGCTGTTGCCCCTCCTGGCACGGGAGCGCCACGATCGCGTCCGTGACAACATCTGCGGGGCACTGGCCCGCCTGCTGATGGCCAGTCCCACAAGGAAACCAGAGCCCCAGGTGAGGGCTGGGGGCAAGGCCCAGAAGCTGCGGGGGCGGGGTGAAGGAGACAGAACAGCAGTCTGAGGCCTCTCTGTGTCCAGGTGCTGGCTGCCCTGCTGCACGCCCTGCCCCTTAAGGAGGACTTGGAGGAGTGGGTCACCATAGGGCACCTCTTCAGCTTCCTGTACCAGAGCAGCCCCGACCAGGTGAGTTGGAGGGGAGCTTCACGCTCCAGCCAGAGGCAGGCTTGGCCTCCCTTATAGCTGACGCAGTCACAGCCTAATCTGCTCTTGGACACTCCTGTGTCCTTACTCTGCCAGGGTCGATAGCCGGGTCCCCTCACGGCGCAGCAGTTTTCCCTCGGGAGGCCCCATGCTCCCTGGCCCTGTGCACCCTCCTGTGGGAGGCAGAAGTCACAGCTTCCCTGGGCTGACTTCCTACACTGGGGTTCCTTCCTACGGTGTTCCTCAGAGCATGGACATCTCTGGGCCACCCTCCCTGTCCCTTCCAGTTAGAGCAGCTCTGGTTTCTGAATGCAATTCATCTGCACCAACCAGCTAGGTTTGGACTTGGGTGCCCACGTTCCTGTGTCATTCACCTCTGTCCTGCACCTTCAGAGCCTGCCGTGTTGGTGGACCTCCTCTGAGTGTCTGGGCTTTTGGTCACCATCTGTCTCCTTCAAAGAAAAAAATTACTCCCACCATGTTTCATGGGTCCTTCTTGGGTTTCCCAGTTGTCTCAGATGTGAAACAGGGTCATGTGTATATCCCTAGCAGGAGACTCCGGCTCTCCTCGGGCCCGGGGCCCAGGGCTGCTGGCACTCCCAAGTCAGCCTGTTTCCCCCGCCCCACAGGTTGTAGATGTGGCTCCCGAGCTCCTGCGCATCTGCAGCCTCATCCTGGCTGAGAACACGATCCCACCAGGTGAGTGGGGTGGCAGTGGGCAGGGTGGGGGGAGGTGGGGGCCAGCTAGGGACCTGCAGGCCAGGCCTCCCCGCTCTCTCTCTCTTCGCTCTCCAAACAGACACCAAGGCTACACTGCTGCTGCTCCTGACGTTCCTGGCCCAACAGCACACTGACAGCTTCCACTCGGCCCTGGGCTCGCTGCCTGGTGACAAAGCTCAGGAACTCCAGGCTGCCCTGGGCCTCACCTAGACTGGGGGCTACAGCCGGGCCAGAGAGAGTAGAGCCTGCCCAGGCCCCAGGACCACCTCTCAGCCCTGTTTCAGCTCACGCCTTACCAAAGATTCTGGGCCTCATACCTACTCGGGAGTCTCAGCCCCACTTGCTGCCTTATGGGGGTGTCTCTAGGGCTGGGTCTGTTAACGCTGTGGGACAGTGCAAATGGAGTCTTGACATCCTACCCCAATAAAGGCAGTTCGGTTACTGCTTGACCAGTAGCTCTGAGAGCAGGAAACACAGAGTTCAGAATCAAGGCAGGCAAGATGGGTTTAATGTGGCCAGTTTCCTGGCAGCTTTGTCAGTTCTAAGCGCAGTGGAACCGGGGCCCCAGCTGGATCAGGAGGCGCCCGTATGGCTTCTCTTGTTCCAGGCGGAGGATCTGCTGTGCCGCCAGCACTGGTCAAGAGAAGAGGATGGGGCCAGTCAGGGGGAATCCCTGTGGCAGCCTTCAGACCTATGTGTCCTCGCCCCACACATGGGCCCACACATCCCCATACTCACCCAGGAGCAGGTAGAATACCCGGGCGGCCATCCGGCGGGGGCTGAGTGGGGACACCAGGCTGTCGAAATCGGGTTCCCTGTTGGCCTGCAGCTCCTGGGCCACAGCCCTGTAGGGATCAGGAACGGTCAGCTGGAGTCCCAGCCTGCCCACCGCCCCCTCCTTCCCCCCGCAGTGTTTCCCTGCACCTGTACAGGGCCTCCAGTGACAGCAGCTCGGGCTCCAGGGGCAGCACTAAAGGCAGCTCCAGGGCCACTTCCGGGACCTCAGGCACCACAGGCAGTGCAGGGGGCTCGGGCTGCTCTGCCTCAGCCCAGGCCCTGGAAGGACACGGCAGTCACCTTCCAGGGAGCAGGAGAGGTGGCAGCTGTGACATGGATGAGGGCCCCACCCTGAGTTCCCCCGGACTGGTGGCTTACCAGCGTTCTTCTGGGGGGATGAGGCTGATGCGGGACTTCTCTTCCTCCACTGCTTCTAGAGAGAGCTCTGTTGGGAGGGGAAGATCCTGAGTGGGTCTGCTTAGATCAGAGTGGTCGGGACCTTGAGGACCCCTGGTCACACTAGATGTGACTGCTGTGCAGTGACTTGTAAGAAGGAAGAGATCTAGGCTCCCTTTCCTTAAGTGCTCCCTCTAGTGAAAACTGTTCGCAGTTAAGGTACCCGTTCCCTGGGACAGTGGCTGTGGTGGTGGCCCTCTCCCTTCTCCAGGTGCCTACCTGAAGACAGCATGAGGGGCCCGCTGGGCTCCTGGGCCTCCCTTGGGACCTGCAGATGGGAGAATAACTAAGCCCCCGAGATCACAGAAGCACCTGGGGCAGGGTGACGCAGTCTTGGCCTGTGCTTGAGGACAGGACCTGGCACCACTGGCTCGGGTGGGCAGAAGGCAGCCTGTGGGAACTCAGGTGAAGCAGGCTGCTCCCAAAGGAGGAGGAAGGGGATGCAGTTACCTCAATATCGCTCAGAGTTTCCATCCTCCTTTCCTCCTCAGCTGCCACCTCCTCCTCAGGCTCTGGGGGTGGCCTTCTCCTGAGTGCTTCTGGGGGTGGCTGGGCACAGTGGGTCCAGAGAGCCAGCAGTTCTGGGGGGAGCCAGCCAGCTGGGAGGGAGGGGTGGCAGGGATGAGGTCTGAGGTGTGAGGAACACTAAGACAGTGGACTGTGAGTTCAGAAGGCCCCACATGCCAACTCCTTACCATGAGTTGGGGTTCGGAATAGCTCCATGGGACTCCTGATGGTCCTCTCGGGAGGCTGCACCTTTGGCTGCATGGGGGGTGTAGGGGGAGGCCAGAAGCCCAGTTAGGAGGGAGCCCCTCCTCACTGCCCCTTCTCTACTTCCTTGCAAAGCTTTGTTCCAAGACCTCTGATCCCCCCATGCTGGCTCCGGCCCCTGCCTGCCCCGCCTACTGCTAGGTGGTGCCCAGGCATATGCTCCGCGGGGTCACTAAAGGAGGGAGGAGAGTTGACTCTGTAAACCTGGAACACACGCACTTTGAGGATTGTTTCCAGTGCCTCCCCAGCACCTACGGCCCTGAGCCCTCCCTCCAGCACCCGTAGAGCCTGGGCTGCACTCACACACTCCCAGCAGTGGGCTCTGGTTTGCAGTTGTTCCTGGAATTTCTCCCGGGAGATCTGAGTCTCCTTGTCCCAGAACAATAACTGGCGGCGGCGGCGGCGGCGGCGAGCAGGCGGACTCCGAGGATATGGGGGCACTGGAGGCTGCCGCCTCTGAATGGGGAGGGGAGGCAGGGCCAAGGCTACCCATTACTCCTTTTCCTGTCACCTTGGTGGGCTACAAAACAGGCTCCACATCCCCACTCCAGAGGCACCCTGGGAAAGAGCTTGGGCAGGGCCTCTGGGTGCAGCTCTGACCTCACATGGGGGGCCCATCTGGGGAGTGCAGGCTCAATAAAATGGAGTGAACAGGGCACTTTCTACCAATTTGCACAAATCCTAGATAGGCTAGCAGTAGCCCAGGGCTTGGGGAAGCTGAATACAGATGAGCAGCTCTGGGAGAGGAGGACAAAGAGGCGGAGAAAGCTTGGAAGGGGCACTACTCACCTCTGGGCTGAGTGGGGCTGGCAGACGCAGCTCTGGTGGTGGGGTCACCTCTGCAACAACACTCTAGGTCACGGCTCTGCCACAGGAATTTGTCCCAGCAGCCACCCAGGCCAGAAGCTAGAAGGCTTCCCTTCAGCAGGGCCCTGGGTGGCGGCAGCTGTGCACATAGCCCCAGGAAGGCCACAGGCACAATGGGCACTCACCAGTAAGTAGAGCCTCGGGCTCCCAGCCTACTGGCTTCACCTCCTCGGGGGCTGGGACCGGAAGTGGCTCTGCTGCCTCTTCCACCCTGAGGGGAAAATGGGCAGGAGAAATGAGTCCACCCCTCCCAGCACCAGCCCCCTACCTGGCCCAGGGGATCCTGCCCTTACGGTGCGAGAGCTGGAGGTGAGAGCGGGGGTACTGCCATTTCCCCCTCCAGGGCCCGGGGCTCCTCCTTGTACTCTACAAAGAGAAGACTGGGGCTTAGAGTGTACAGGAGGAGCTAGGAGCACTGCCCAGACCCAGCCTGCCCATGCCAGGGCACTGACCCTCTGGGGCCGGACGTGCCCTTCGCTCCCGGGGAGGCCTGCCTCGCCGTTCCTCTAACAGGATCGCTTCATCTTCCTCAGCAATCAGCAGGTCCAGGTCCCGGCGGCTGACCTCTGGGAGATCCTGTTCACCCTGGCAAGAGAGTAAGAAGAGGGGATGCAATCCCCTTGCTGAAAAGGGCAAGTGGCTCTAGGAGACTGGGTCTGAGAGGCGGGCAGCAGGAGGCCCACCGTGCACTGAAGCGCCAGGCACAGGGATGCTGGAATGGAGATGAGAAGGCAGGACTCGCAGACAGGAGGGTAACATGAGGCAGGCGGGGCCACCAGAGGCAGCACTCAGGCCTCAGCCTCTCTGGAAGGGTACAGCTTACCTCGATCTGCAGCATGCGGATGGGCTCTGCCTCCTGGAGGGTGATGGCCTCTGGAGACACCACAGTGACCGGGATCCTGTCTGGAGAGGCAGGATAGTCACATCAGCCCCTCTGCGGCTTTCCAGCTTCCCATGCCATGTGAGGCGGCCAAAGCACAGACTCTGGAATTGAGTCAACCTAGGTTCTAGTCAGGCCCTGGCCAGTCACGGGCAATCTGACCCTGGCTAGGTTGCTCAAGCACTATAGGCCTCACTTTTCTCCTCTGGAGAATGGCAATAAGAATTCTGATCTCGGGCGCCTGGGTGGCTCAGTGGGTTAAGCCTCTGCCTTCGGCTCAGGTCATGATCTCAGGGTCCTGGGATCGAGGCCCACGTCGGGCTCTCTGCTCAGCGGGGAGCCTGCTTTCTCCTCTCTCTCTATGCCTGCCTCTCTGCATACTTGTGATCTCTCTCTCTGTTTCAAATAAATAAAATCTTCAAAAAAAAAAAAAATTCTGATCTCATAGGACTCTTGTGAGGCAGAGATGAGGTGACACAAATGGAATGCCCCTCACAGGGCCTGGCTCTTAAGAGAAGCTCAAAGATGGTCTTCAGTTCTTGGGCCTTCTGAGGCCTCTCCCAGGAAAGAGGCTCTCTGCTCACCAGGCTTCCTAGGCTCCACGGGGACTTCAGGCGGGGCCTCCTCAAGCTCCCTCTCTGGGGTTGCAGCTTCTAGGAGCTGTCGAATCTTTGGAGAGGATTGGGGACGAAAGGGAAGATTCATCCTCAGCCCGTTCTCCCACCTCCACAACCTTATTCAGACAGCAAACGAAAATATTCCTTCATGCTGCAGCTTTGTGACACCAGCACACAGTGAGCCCACTCACCATCTGCTCTCTTTTCCTCCCATTCCTGCCCCCACTATCTAGACTTTGTTCATTTTTCTGTGCAGGAAGCACTGCACCCTTATGTCAAGTGTTGGGGGGTAAAGATCTCAAGAAGCCTATGGTCTAACAGAAAGACCAGTGTGTAGAGGACCCCAGCAAGTCAGCACAAGGGGTGAGACAAGCACACTAGCAATGTGCTCAGTTCCAAAGCAACATCTGGCTCTGGCCAGAGATAAAGCCTCATAGAAAGGGGTAAACACTGGAGTCAGGCCTGCTAAAGACATGTGGGACTTAACTAGTATAGAACAAGGGTGACCGTTAGGGGCATGGAGGGTTGTATGCAGTGGGGAGCCAGAGGTGTCTTTCAAAGAAGGAAGTAGCGTTGTCTTAAGCTGTAAATGTGTCAGGACATGGATAGAGGGAGACATGGGCACAGAAACTTAAGGCTAAGAGATGCTAAGGGCCTGGCTTAGAGCCTTGGCAGTGGGAACTGTGTGGTGAGAAGTTGGGACAAGGGCTGCTTTGTCTGGAGGGGTCTGCCATGACAGTCCCCCAGCACGGACTCCTGGAGGGGAGAGCTATGGCAGGCCCCCTTCCCGAGCCCCACTGTCAGACATAGGAACAGCATTCCCCTTCCACACTGTCAGCTCGCCAGTCTGAGGCATCTGTGGGGAATAAGCCCTACCTGAGGGATACTGAAGGGGCTGGGAAGTGTGGGATCCACAGACATCACCCCAAAAAAGGGGTCTGGAGCACCTTCCAGGGTCTCCATCATGGCCAGGCGGTTAGGAAGCAGCAGGCTGGGTCTGAGACCAAGAGAGAATGTGAGCTGTCCAGCACTGAGGCAGAGGGCCAACCCCGAGGAGGGAGGATCCCCACCAAAGGCTGAGTGGTTCAGTCACCGGGGGCACTTACAGCTCAGTCTCCACCATATCCATGCGGATCTGCAGCTGCGCGCGGTGTAGGCGCTCCAGGATGTGCTGGATGTCCTCTGCCGGCAGGGAGGGCAAGGTGGAGAGCACGCCTCGCCTCGCTGCCGCAGGGCCAGGCGACTCTGCCCCTTATCTAAGCCTTGCCCGCCTTACCTACGAGGTACTGGCATTGCTGAGAATAGACCCGGATCACGCCGATCTGCAGCTGGGCTGACAGATAGAGGGAGAAGCGCGGCCGAGGCAAGCCGGGCAGCGGGGGCTGAACTCGTACCAGCACGTAATTGAGGATCTCCTCACTGTGGGGACAACGTGCCCCGATCACCACTGCTCCAAGGCCTAGCCCCGCAGCCTGGCACACCCCATCCAGCACCACCTCTCCTGCCCACTCAGGCCTGCCCGCTCCTCCCCTTCCCAGCCTTACCAGGTCTTCACCACGTTCACCTTCAGGTACTCGCGCTTCACCAACCGGCTGCCACGAGTCGCTGCCAGCCTGGAAGGGGTGGGGGATGTCAGGCTGGGGCCCCTGGGTGTCCCTCCCAGCGCGCACAGCCCAGGCCTTACCAGATGGTGGCGAAACAGCCAGTGTGGCGCTGAAGCACGTTGGGATAGTAGAACATTGTCCCGCCTGGCTTTCACCCTTGTCCCCACCACTCCTCCGCTGGGGTCTCAATCCGAATTCTTTGTGGCACGGGGCTTCCAAACACTGCCGTCGGGGCAAAGGGCTTGGAGAGGCAGCCGCCGGGGCAGCCCCAGAAAGCCCGGTAAAGGAACGGATAAACACTCAGGTGTAGGTCAACAATTAGGACGAGAAGTAAACAGAGGCGCGGACCGCACACACAGCAGTCGGGAGGCCCCTCTCTGCCGCCGGGAGTGGGTTCCCACGCCGCGTGGCTGCTTCGAACTTACTGAGGCCTTCCGGGTCGGGTTCCAGGTTGGAGAGGCAGAGCTCCCCAAGCGCAGGCCGGGGCTGGGCCCTAGGCCAGGTCCCGAGAGAGAACGGGGTCCTCTGCAGGAGTGCCGGGCTCCCGGGCCTTGCACTCAGCTTATGCACCTGCAGTCCCCGCGGCCCTAGATCCCGCCGCAGGGGGCGCGCGCTCCGGGACTCAGCGCCTCCCTCGTCATTAGATGGCGGCGGCCCCCACAGCAGCCAATGGGGAACAAGACTGGGCTTGGGAATGCTCGGTTTCAGGGCACCAAGTAGCCCGCCTGGGGTCTAGGCAACAGGTGTCTCCCGAGGCAGACAGCGAACCAATCAGAAGAACCCTGCGTGCTGCGGGGGGCTATTGTGAGGTGTCCTGACCAATGGGCTCTCTTTCTAGCCTCTGATAACAAGGGTTCTCGGTAGCACTTCTCTGCCGACCAATGAGCGAGGGGCCAGTCCCAACCTCGCCCCCGCAGCAAGCTTGGTAACAAGGCCGTTTCGACCACTAGAGAAGGTCGGGTCATGCCCAGGGCAAGGGCTCTGCCCCATTCCGGGTGCCTGACCTGAGGTTAGACCTTGCCCTTTCTCCTGAAACCCACCAAATACCAAAGACTGGTCTGCCTCTGTGTCCAGCCTTGAGCTTGTCCTCAGCTGGGCAGGTGGAGACGGTGTGAGGTGGCCTTGGGCACACCGCAGATGAATGAGAAAGAAGTCAGATCTCACAGGAAACATGCTCAGTCATTTCCTAAACTTGAACAACTTGGGCTGTGGGCATGCCCCCTCTGGCTGTTTTCCAGTAGTGAATGTTCTCCCACCTGAAACAGACCTCAGCTTTGTGGGATGCAAGGCATTAATCTCCCCATACAAAAGCCATCTGGCCCAAAAAATTCTTTGTTTTCCCGCCTCCTGCCTTTGTATGCCCCTTGGGTTTGGCTTAAAATGCCCTTTCCAGCCTTGACCCCAGGGCCAGCTTCTGCCTCTAACACTTAGTTAGCTCTTACTGGTGCTGAGCTGACCCTATTTTATTTGTTCCTTCAGTCTATGAGCTCTTGACATTAAGATCTTTTTTTTTTTGTGGGGGGTGGGGGTGCCTGGGTGGCTCAGTTGTTAAGCGGCTGCCTTTGGCTCAGGTCATGATCCCAGGGTCCTGGGGTGGAGTCCCACATCAGGCTCCCTGCTCAGTGGGAAGCCTGCTTCTCCCTCTCCCATTCCCCCTACTTGTGCTCCCTCTCTCCCTCTCCGTCAAATAAATAAAATCTTTAAAAAAAAAAAAGATATATTTTTTTCTTTTTCTTTTTCACCTAGTTCCTGGAAACTAGCACAGGAAACATCTGTCAAATGAATATGCAATTACCCCAAATTTACAACCACAGACAGTCAAGTCTGTGACAGAGTCTGACAGAGATTTCAGAATCTAGTCCTTGTAAGCTCTACAGCACTTGCTTTTACAGATGAGAAAACAGAGAGGCCCACATGACAGTTCTTCCCAGAATACAAAGCTCCCGAATGACAGGCTGGTTGGGAACTCTGCTCTCTTGAATTCCAGCATTTCTAGTACCTATTCCACTGTGCTTGGCTAAATGAGTTTCTACATAATACAAATTGTTTCAATCATGTATGTTGTCACTGTTTATAAGTTCACACTGGGGAACAAAGGTAGATGCATCTGGGGCATCTACCCTTAAGGTACTTAGAAACTAGTGTAGGAGATAACAGTAATTTGTTCACCCATCCCTCCATTCAACAAGAATTTATGAAATGCCTACTATGTGCCATGTACTCCTCTAGGCACTGAAGATAGAGCAATGAACAAAACAAGTCCTTGTTCTCGTGGAGTAGGGAAGAAGAGATGCTAAGTAAGTAGACAAATAGAAATATGTTAAGTGGTGATCAGTGCCATGAGAACAATGAGGCAGCATAGGAGAACAGAGGGTAGTGAGGGCTGCTGTCTAGGTAGGGTGCTCGGGGAAGCCTTCTCTGAAGAGAAGAGACAAAATGCATCTACCTGAAGGAAAAATATTCTACACAAAAGAACCAGCAAGTACAAAGGTCCTGAGGCAGAAATGTGATGGGTTCAAGGAGCCTGGAGCTAGAATCGTAAGGGGTGAGGTTAGAGGAGAATAGGAGCCACATCACAAGGACTGTGGAGGCCACTGTAAGGATTTGGGCTTTTACTCTGAATGAGTCAAGAGCCAATGGGGGGTTTTGAGCAGAGGAATGACATGAGATTTATGCGTTAAGAGGATCTCTACTGTGTTGAGAGAATAGTGGAGGTAGAAAAGATGTAGATGGAAACAGAAAGAGATGTGAGAGATGACAGTAGGTTATTCCAAAGTGTTAGTCATGGAAGCAGAGAAAACTGGTCAGATTCTGGATAGATTCTGAAGGAATAACAATGAGCTCTGCTGATGAACTGGATATGGGATGTGACAGAAAATGGAAGAGGACACTATATAATCATAAATGCAACAATCCAACAAGAAGATAAAACAATTGTAAGTATTTATGCACCCAACATGGGAGCACCCAAATACATAAAGCAGTTAATAACAAACATAAAGGAAGTCATCAGTAGTAATACAGTAACAGAAGGGGACTTTAGCCCTCACTTACACCAATGGACAGATCATCTAAACAGAAAGTCAATAAGGAAACAGTGGCTTTGAATGACACATTGGACCAGATGGATTTAACAGATATATTCAGAACATTCCATCCTAAAACAGCAGAATACACATTCTTTTCAAGTGCACATGGAACATTCTCCAGAATACATTACACATTAGGCTATAAAACAAGCCTCAACAAATTCAAAAGTACCAAAGTCCCACCATGCATCTTTTATTTTTTTTAAAGATTTTATTTATTTATTTGACAGAGAGAGAGATCACAAGTGGGCAGAGAGGCAGGCAGAGAGAGGGGGAAGCAGGCTCACAGCCAAGAGGGGAGCCAAGATCGTGACCCAAGCCGAAGGCAGAGGCCCAACCCACTGAGCCACCCAGGTGCCCCCCATGCATCTTTTTAACCACAACACTATGAAACTAGAAATCAACCATAAGAAAAAAATCTGGAAAGATCACAAATATATGGAGATTAAATAACATGCTACTAAACAATGAATGGGTCAACCAAGAAATGAAAAAGGATATAAAAAAAATACATAGAGACAAATGAAAATTAAGACACACAATGGTCCAGGGATACCTAAGTGGCTCAGCCAGTTAAGCATCTGCTTTCAGCTCAGGCCATGATCTCAGAGTCCTGGGATCAAGCCCTGTGCACTGGGCTCCTTGCTCACTGGGGAACCTACTTCTCCCTCTGCCTGCTGCTCCTCCTGCTCCCCCCTTTCTCACAAATAAATAAATAAAATATTCTAAAAAAAACCCAAAAAACTCACAATGGTCCCAAATTGTTGGGATGCAGCAAAAGCAGTTCTAAGGAGACTTCTAGCAGTACAGGCCTACTTCAAGAAGCATGAAAAATCTCAAATAAACCTTATACCTAAAGCTAGAGCTAGAAAAAGAAGAACAAAACCCAAACCAATAGAAGGAAAGAAGGAAATAATAAAGATCAGAGCAGAAATAAATGAAATAGTAAAAATTAAATTTAAAAAAGGATAGATAGGGGCGCCTGCGTGGCTCAGTGGGTTAAGCCTCTGCCTTCAGCTCAGGTCATGATCTCAGGGTCCTGGGATCTAGCCCTGTGTGGGGCTCTCTGCTCGACAGAGAGCCGGTTCCCCGCCGCCTACTTGTAATATTTCTGGGTCAAGTAAGTAAATAAAATTTTTTAAAAAGGATAGATCAATAAAACTAGGAGCTGGTTCTTTGAAAAGATTAACAAAATTGATAAATCTTTAGCTAGACTCATTAAAAAAAAAGAGGACTTAAATAAAATCGGAAATGAAAAAGGGAAAATAATCAACACCACAGAAATACAAAAGATTATCAAAGAATATTATGAAGAATTATATACCAACAAATTGGACAATCTAGAAGATATGGGTAAATTCCTGGAGACACAACTGAATCAGAGAGAAATAGAAAATTTGAACAGACTTATTACCAGCAATGAAATTGAATCAGTAATCAAAAAACTGTCAACAAACAAAAGTCTAGGACTGGATGCTTCACAGGTGAATTCTACCAAACATTTAAAAAAGAGTTAATTCCTATTCTTTCAAAGTATTCCAAAAAACAGAGGTGCCTGGGTGGCTCAGTCAGTTAAGTGTCTGCCTTTGGCTCAGGTCATGATCCCAGAGTCCTGGATTAAACCCCACGTTGGGCTCCCTGCTCAGTGGTAAGCCTGCTTCTTCCTCTTCTGTTCCCCTGCTTGTTTTCTTCCTCTGTCAAATAAGTAAATAAAATCTTTAAAAAAAAAAAAAAGTAGAAGAGGAAGGAATGCTTCCAAATCCATTGTATGAGGCCAGCATCACCCTGATACCAAAACCTGACAAAGACACCACAAAAAAAGAAAACTATAGGCCAGTAGTTCTGATGAATAGAGAAGCAAAAGTAGTCCTCAACAAAATATAAGCAAACTGAATCTAACTAAAGAAATTATTCATCACGGTAAAGTGGGATTCATTCCTGGGTTGCAAGGGTGGTTCAATATTTGCAAATCTATCATGATATGTCATATCAATAAGAGAAAGGATAAAAAACGTGATCGTTGAATAAGCACAGAAAAAACATTTGATAAAGTACAACATTCACTCATGATAAAAACCCTCAACAACATAGGAATAGAGGGAAAATACCACAACATTATAAAGGCCATATATGAAAAACCCACAGTTAACAGCATGCTCAATGGGGAAAAACTGAAAGCTTTTTCCCTAAGGTCAGGAACTAGGTAAGGATGTCCACTCTCACAACTTTTTTTTTTTTTTTTAAAGATTTTATTTATTTATTTGACAGAGATCACAAGTAGGCAGAGAGGCAGGCAGAAAAAGAGAGGGGGAAGCAGGCTCCCTGCTGAGCAGAGAGCCCGATGCGGGGCTCGATCCCAGGACTCTGGGATCATGACCTGAGCCGAAGGCAGAGGCTTAGCCCTCTGAGCCACCCAGGTGCCCCCACTCTCACAACTTTTATTCAACATAGTACTGGAAGTCTTAGCCACTGCAATCAGACAAGAAAAAGGAATAAAAGGCATCCAAAATTGGTAAGGAAGGAGTAAAATTTTTACTATTTGCAGATGACATCATAGTATATATATAAAACCCTAAAAACTCCAAGAAACTACTAGAACGATCAATGAATTCAGTAAGGTCACAGAATACAAAATCAATGTACAGAAATCCATTGCATTTCTATGCACTAATAACAAAGCAGCAGAAAGAGAAATTAAGAAAACAATCCTATTTACAATTGTACCCAAAGTAATAAAATACCCAAGAATAAACCTAATCAAAGAGGTAAAAGATATGTATTCTAAACTATAAAACACTGATGAAAGAAACTGAATATTACACAAAGAAATGGAGACATTCCATGCTCATGAACTGGATGAACAAATATTGTTAAAAAGTCTGTACTACCCAAACCAGTCTACAGATTTAGTGCAATCCCTATCAAAATAGCAACAATATTTTTCAAAGAACTAGAACAAACAATCCTAAAATTTGTATGCAACCACAAAAGACCTCGAATAGCCAAAGCAATCCTGAAAAAGAAAAGCAAAGCTGGAGGCATCATAATTCCAGATTTCGGGGCACCTGGGTGGTTCAGTGGGTTAAAGCCTCTGCTTTCAGCTCAGGTCATGATCCCAGGGTCCTGGGATTGAGCCCCGCATCGGGCTCTCTGCTCAACAGGGAGACTGCTTCCCACCCCGTTCTCTTTCTGCCTGCCTCTCTGTCTACTTGTGATCTCTGTCAAATAAATAAATAAAATCTAAAAAAAAAAAAAAAATTCCAGACTTCAAGTTATATTACAAAGCTGTAGTCATCAAAACTGTATGGTACTGGCATAAAAACAGACAAGTAACGGGGTGCCTGTGTGGTGCAGTTGGTTGAGCGTCCAACTCTGGATTCTGGCTCAGGTCATGATCTCAGGGTCCTGTGACTGAGTCCCATGTCTGGCTCTGCGATCAGTGGAGGGTCTGCTTCAGAGTCTCTCTCCCTCTCCCTCTGCCCTCCCACTTATGCTCGCTCACTCTCTAAAATAAATAAATACTTTAAAAAATAGACATATTGACCAATGGAACAGAATAGAGAGCCCAGCAATAAACCCATAATTATATGGTCAATGAATCTTCAACATAGGAGGCAAGAATATACAATGGGAAAAACACGGTCTCTTCAACAAATGATGGTGGGAAAACTAGACAGCAACATGCAAAAGAACGCATCTGGACCACTTTCTTATACCATACATAAAAATAAACTGAACACAGATCAAGGACCTAAATGTGAGGCTTAAAACCATAAAAATCTTAGAAGAGAGCACAGGCAGTAATTTCTCTGACATCAGCTGTACCATTTTTCTAGCTATGTCTTCTGAGGCAAGGAAACAAAAGCAAAAATAAGCTACTGGGACTACATCAAAATAAAAAGCTTCTGCACAGCAAGGAAACCATCAACAAAACTAAAAGGCAACATACTGAGTGGGAGAAAATATCTGCGAATGACATATCTCATAAAGTGTTAGTATCTAAAATATATAAAGAATGTATGCAACTCAACACCAAAAAACCCCCAAATAGTTCAATTAAAAAATGGGCAGAAGACATGTCTTCTGCAAAGAAGACATCCAGATGGGCAACAGATATATGGAGAAATGCTCAACATCATATCATCAGGGAAATGCAAATCAAAACCACAATGAGTTACCACCTCACACCTCTCAGACTGGCTAAAAATAAAAAACACAAGAAACAACAGGTGCTGGAGAGGATGTGGAGAAAAAGGAAGCCTGTGCACTGTGAGTGGGAATGCAAACCAGTGCAGCCATTGCAGACAACACTATGGAGGTTCCTTAATAAATTAAAAATAGAACTACTGGGGCACCTGGATGGCTCAGTGGGTTAAGCTGCTGCCTTTGGCTCAGGTCATGATTCCAGGGTCTTGGGATAGAGCCCCACATCAGGCTCCCTGCTCAGTAGGGAGTCTGCTTCTCCCTCTACCGTTTCCCCCTGCTTGAGCTCACTTTCTCTCTCTCAAATAAATAAAATCTTTAAAAGTAATAAAAATAGAACTACTATATGATCCAGTAATTCCACTACAGGGTATTTACCCAAAGAATATGTAAGCACTAATTCAAAAGGATACGCACACCCTTATGTTTATAGCATTATCTACAATAGCCAAACTATGAAAGCAGCCCAGGTATCCACTGATAAATGGATAAAAAATTGTATACGTGAAAACTAATTTAATGCTGTGTGTTCTTTATACTGGAATTAAAATTAAAAAGAAAGGGAAAGCAAGAAAATGGAAGTCAAGGTGATAGCAAGTGCAAAGAAGGGCCAGGAGGGATTTTAGCAAATTGAGGGCACTGTACACTCAGTGCCTGCATTCTTCCCTGCTAATGCAGATGCCTGTTTGGATTCTTGGCTTCTCAGGAGGATGATGGGCAAGACTGAAGAGGAGGAAAGTCCAGGGAGGCAGCAAGGCTCGAAGGCAGCACTGGAGTTTGTCAAATGCAACAGCAAGAAGATCCTTGAGGATCTAGATGTGCTGGGCTTTGATCATGTAGTTGAGCCATGGGAGGCTTCTAAGAGCGGTATGACAGGGAAGAGCTTGATCTGGGAGGCCCCCTCCTCTAAGCTGGTGTCCCCTGCAGAAGGGGGAAGCTGCAGGCAGTGGCATCAGCTAAGTGGTGGCTTAGGTCTGAACTGGTCTGCTGGACGTGAGTGGAGAGGTAGGATGACAAGTGGCCTGTGAAGGGAGAACTTTCAGTTTGGTGGCAAAAGAAACACAGGCATAAGGGAGACGAGTGTCAAATGATTTGGAGCTCTCAGATCTCAGCCAATAGTGTTGGTGACATGGCAGTCTAGGCCAGATGGTCTTTTGTGGGGCTTAGGTAGGGCAAGGAAACCAGGTTGGGGGTCCCTTTCTGTCGGGGTGACAGTGCCCCATGTGCTGGAAGAAGAGGCACCGGGGCCTGGTCTCCCTCCGCTGAGGGGGCTCAGCAGCCCTCTGATTCCCCTCAGCTCCTCCTTTGGTTCCCCCTCCCTTCCTAGGCCCCAGGGTCCCTAGGCCATAGTTTGAGGGCAACTTCAAGTTCTCTTGTTCATTTAGACCTCCCGCCTGGAGTCCCCCAAATCAGAGACCTCTAGCCAAGATCAGCGGAACCCAGATTTTTCCAAGTGAAGCTGGTGGCAACAGCTGCTGTGGGCTGTGTTCTTCTTGGTGGCTAAACTTGATCCTCTCCCTGGGCCCAGAACCCACAGAGCAAAGAAGCATCTTAGCCAGAACCTCAGTTGGAGAAGAGGAAAGGGGCCCAGAGAGGTCAGTGGGAGGAGAACCCAAGTACCTCACTCTCAAATTACGTCTTTAGCACTTCCCGGTCACCCCTGCTACCTTTTCATCCCAACAAAGCAGATACTGACTCCTCTTTCAATAAAGTTTTATTTTAAACCCCCTAGTGAAGATCTAAGAAGAAAATATAAAGTGCTTAGCCTTAGGGGTGGGGGAAAATGAAAGGTACCCTGAGTTCACACCATTTGGACTTTTCCAGGTTAGTTCCTCAGAGATGAAAGAAGGCGTATCTCAAAAAAAAAAAAAAAAAAAAAAAGAAAGAAAGAAAGAAAAAAAGAAAGAAAAAGTGGTGGGGTGGATAAAAATCACTGTTGGATTCTCCACCAGCCAGGTACATCGGCAGTTCAAGGACGTATCCATCAGAGACAACCACTGAGAATTAGCACGAGGGAGGCAGGTCAACGGTGTGGAGAATGAGTCTCTTTCAAAGGAGATAGGAGGAAGAGAGAGGCAAGGAGGAAAGTGGGTCCCCCAGGCTCTGCAGCAGGGACAGAGAGGCTGCCTGTTCCTCTGGAGTCTCCTCCAGCAAATGTCGGGCAAAGGCCTGCTCCATCTGTGCCAGAAAAGGTGGGGAAGAGATGGTCATGAGCACAGCTGGGGAAGACACTACCCTAGGAGCACCTTTCCCTCCGGAGGCCCCTTCTTCTCCTGGAACACCCCACCCCACCCCACCCCACCCACACAGGCAGGCTTGGTCTCCCCCCACCCTGAACTCACCTGCACTGTGATAAGACTCTTTGGGTTTGGGGTACGGCTGGGGCTGGGGCTCTCCTCCCAGAAATTCAGTGTCACCTGGAACTTGGGTGGGGGCCCAAGGCCCTGGAAGTACCTGGCCAAGTCTGATGAAAAGAGAAAGGGTCAAGGGTTTGAAGCAAGAAAGAGAAGAGAGAAGCCACAGGCAGGAAGGGAATAGAGGGGGCCCATCCTGGAGAAAGAGCAGTGACTGCAAGGCCAAATGGAGATCAGGGCTAGAACAGGAGCTGCAGGGTCACGAGCTGTTTCCTCATACCAGGAGAAATGCCAGCAACTCTGCTGCTATTCACCCATATGCAAATAGGAAAGGGTGCCCCTTCACCAAGTAAGAAGTGTTTGGAGGTACCTGGTTTTTAATACAGCCTGCAAAGCTCTCTGCTATAAGAGCTTAGAGTCCTCATAGCAGCAGCCTGGGCTGCTACCACACAGGGGCTCCCCTCTCTGTCGCCTGCTCACAACCCTGCTACCAAGGACACCCATGGCCCTGGCACGCTCCTGCCCTGCATCTCCTATACTTCTGGCACCTACTCCTAAGGTCAGATTTCAGATTCAGAGATGAATGGAGGCAGGAAGTGGAACTGCAGGAATGGATGGGAGAAGGCCAATCAGGGTTGCTGCCTAGGGTGTAGCCGGGCTGGTGTGGGTAATGTGCACCAGCTCTCCCAAAGGTGTCAATGGTGTGTATGCAAGTATAGATGCTGGGGAGGGCCTGGGAGCACACCTTTCCACTACTGTCAGGTGCCATGCGGGGGGCAATCCCCGAGATGGGACTTGCCTGCTCAGCTCCACCTGTGCCTTATCTTCTGAGGCCTGGGCTGGGGAAGGGCAGCTGCCAGGGCTGAGCACACAGCCCCCCAGGCTGTGCACTGTGCAAGTACAGGATGCCATGCATGAGCTATAAGGAAGGATCTACTGGAGGAAACAGGGTGGTGGCAGAGCCTACCAGGTCCAGTAGAGGGGAACTAAGGGGCGGGGGCAGGGACTCCGCTCAGCTGGAACAGCCTTACCTCTGCAGAAGTAGGTGGTTCGGAAGAGCTCCACGCACTCATTGCTGGGCAGCAGATGTGGGCCTGGACCGGGCGGTGCCTGGGGCGCGTTCCAGGAGACAGGGATAGGGCAGAGGCGCTGCACGAAGAGGCCCCGGGAGTTGCTGGCGACCAGGACGCCCCTCTCGATCTGGCTCAGCAGGCGCTGGGTAGGCTCCCTTGGGTCAGGCTTGGGAAAGACCACCTGCTCCATTCCGCACTGGGAGCCTGAGGGCTCAGCCACCAGGCGGCAGTCCAGGCTCTGCACCTGGGCTTCTCCCACGACACGCCCGCCATAGATGAAGGTGAGCAGCAGAGAGTAGTCTGCAGACAAAGAACCACCAGCTGCACCTGGCCTGCACCTGGCCTTCACCCTCGGGGTCGGCCTGGTCAGCACCAGGGCCTGAGGGGACCAGGAGGGGCTCCTTGCAAATCCCACATCCTCATCTTGTGGGTGAGAAATATGAGGTCCAAAGAGGGAAACCAAGTGTGGGCTGGGGCCCTGGCTACCCCTTCTGAGGTTAGAGGAGGCATCTCCCTCCTTATCTGCCCTCTTGCCAGCCCCACCAGCCAAGGAGCTTCCTGTCAGACTTTCCCATCACTCAGGAGGGGAGGTGATACATAAATGCCCAGAGGACTCAGGGCTTAATGCCCAGGGTCTTATAGTTTGTAAGAAGGTCCCAGAGACCGGGGCTCTGCTTGACCCATGGGAATTCATGTCTCAAAGTGGATTTCCAGGGAACAGAGTGAATAGGGGGTACTTTTGAGAGCTGAGCTGTTTGGAGTCTGGAGTCTGGCCTGGTGTACTGCCTAGAAACCAGTGCCTCTGTCGGGGTAAGGGGGGCCCAGTTTGCTACAAGCCCCGACAGATACAGTAATACATGCATGACTCCCGGGAGACAAGCTGGGGAGACAGGGAGCAGGGATAAGTCAGAAACGCCACACACCTGAGTCTGGAGGAGGCAGAAACTCCAATGACACCTGATCTCCTTGGAAAGGGGCACCTTCAGTTGTGTCCGCACCTATCGGGGAAGCAGGGGCATATGGTTCAGGATGGGAATGGGGAGTCCTTGGGCCAGAGGCTGTGGCACAGGGGTGACAAAAAGAGGCAGAGGACGTGGTACCTTCCTGAGGCTCAGGGCTGTTGCTGCTGCTGCTGCTGCTCCCAAAGTTTGAATGGCCTGTTCCCCCATTGGCCCCCACCTCCTCCTGCAGACACAGTGTCTATCGTTGGCCCACCTCTCACCTAATTACTGTCCTGCCCCCTCCCCCGTTCCCTCCCCAGTGCTTACATTTCTGAGGGGGTCCTCAAGCCAGGAGGGACTGAGCATGCAGTTCTTTGTGGTGCCCTCCTCCTCCTCCTTCTCAGAGGACACAGAACTGTGACTTCGCTTTGATGGTGACTTCTGGGTCCCTGGCTGGGCTGTGGAATATCGTGGAGGGGGAGACAAATGTCAGAGTCTTTTCAATTTTTTTTTTAAAAGATTTTATTTTGGGGCGTCTGGGTGGCTCAGTGGGTTAAAGCCTCTGCCTTCGCCTCAGGTCATGATCCCAGGGTCCTGGGATCGAGCCCCGCATCGGGCTCTCTGCTCTGCAGGGAACCTGCTTCCTCCTCTCTCTCTGCCTGCCTCTCTGCCTACTTGTGATCTCTGTCTGTCAAATAAATAAATAAAATCTTAAAAAAAAAAAAAAGATTTTATTTATTTATTTGAC